CCAAGCCTCTGGAGGGCTGATGACACCTGGATTTCCCCTCCATGAGACCACTTCAGACCTCTGGACTCCAGAATTCTAAAGAGAATAAATTTGTATTGTTTCAAGGCAACGAATTTGTGATAATTTACTCTAGGAAACTAATATGGTATTCAATAAAAATGTGTTGAATAATTTATAGTTAAATGGATTTGTTCTGTTCCGTTCAGTGAACATTGCCCAGAGCTTTCCTTGTATCCAGCAATATGCAAGGGGCTAGCTGCTAACCCTGGGCCTCAAGGGCTCAGAGTCATGTAAGGAGGCCTTCGGAAAACTGGGGAATAATCAGGCAAAAGCAGAGAACCATAAAGGCAGGAACACGTTAAAGTACTCAGTTGAGAATAATGGTCAAAAAGATATTTTGTTCCCCCTTCTTCTTTATGATACCCTTGTCCTGCCCTTTGAATCACCACAACTGGTGGTTCCTTTTGTGTGTTAGTTGTATACTCTCTCTCCTTCCCCTCCAATTTTCACACAGTGTTTTCCATGTTTCTTTACCTTGTGTCTAAATTTTCCCTTTTTTTATTAGGACTCCAGTCATATTGGATTAAAGGCCCAACCTACTCCACGATGACCTCATCTTAACTAATTACATCTGCAATGACCTTATTTCCAAATAAAGTCACATTCTGAGGTACTAGGGGTTAGGATTTCAATATATGAACTTTGGGGGGACATGATTCAGCCCATAACAGCCAGGGACTCCTCCCCTGTCAAGCACTTGGTGGGGACCCCCTGGATTGGCCTACTTTGCCCTTGATGTGGTCTCCTCCCAGCATCTGTCTAGAGGACCAGTCTGCTGCCTTGGCTTTATTCACAAAGGTTTCCTCAATGTCTCCCTTCTATTATTGTTGCATGGAGCAGAACAGAGCTGGGCTGCCTAGCAGCTGGCCTCATGAGCGCTGCATCCCTTTCATCGCAGGACTTGGTCTCAGCAGATGCCCAAGGAAGGTGAGATTTCGCAGTGGCTCAGAGAGCTTTCAAGCAGAAACTTTTCACCCCTCAGGGGTAGCTTACCTTCAAGCTCCAATTCAGGAAGGCAGCTCCTGGGAGTTTTTCTGACTCTACTGGCTTGAGTCTCAAATCACTCTTCTGAGAAACCCTCCCCAGCTGCCCTCGACCTTCCAGAATCCTTTTGCGGGTGGTCAGCATGTGTGTCTCCTCACAGCCTGCCTTATCCCATGCATAGGATGACCAGTCCCAGCCTGTTGGCTTGTCTGCTCCCCCACAATGAGCTCGTAACAATAGGGACCATGTCTCAATCACTGCTTTATGCCTGTGCCCAACCAAAAGCCTGGTCCCCACCTAGGCCAGGGGTCAGCAAACTACAGCCTGTGAGCCAAATCCCATTTGTTGCCTGCTTTTGTATAGCCTACAAGCTAAGGATGGTTTTTACATTTTTTAATGGTTGGGGAAAAGTTCGAAAGAAGAATATTTCATCACACGTGAAAATGACATGAAATTAAATATATGTGTATACACATAGATATTACTATATCTATGTGTGTGTGTATATATATATACACACATATATATATACACATATATATACATACATATACACATATATATACACATATATATATATATATATATATATATATGTGAAAACATTTAAGTTCTACCCTCTTAACAAATTTAAATTATACAATATAGTGTTATCAACTATACTCACCATGTTATACATTAGATCCTCGGAGCTTATTCATCTTATACTTGAAAGTTTGCACCCTTTTACCAAATTCTCCCTATTTCCCCCACCCCTCAGTCCAAGGCTGAGACTTCTTAGTGCTCTAAGGACAGAGTTGAGTAGTTGCAATAGAAACCATGTGTCCCACAGAGTAGACAATCTGGCCCTTTACGGAAACAGTGTGCCAACCACTCTGCCAGACGTTCAAGAGATTGATGTTGATTGACGACTAAATGATTGGATAGATGGTCTCCAGAGCTCACACAGTTCAAGCTGCCCTGCGGTGTTAGCTATTTTTATACGTGAGGTCCTGAGGGCAGGGATTGGGTCTTCTTTTCCATTTTGGCTCCTGCACAGGGTCAGCAGGTCTTAGAAAATCTTGATCTTGATTCGCTGTCTCAGACGCCAGGTGCTGAGATGCTGGTGCTTCCTCATGGCTGCACGGGTAGAGTCCTTGAACCTCCTGGACCAGCCTTCAGATGCTGAGGAGCATCCCCTCGGTGGACAGGGCATCTGTCCATACACTGTGAGAGGGGCGGGGAGGCCAGCAGACCTGCTAGAAGCATGGGTGAACATTGCCAGGTCAGCAGTTAAAAAAAGAACTTGACTTTCAAGTAAAAAGCAAATACAGGGCCCCAAGGAGACCAGAGTGCATTTAAACCTCATCTGTAATTCTTGCTAACTCTATGACTTTAACACAAACTGTTGAACCGCTGTGTCCTCAACTGTGAAGTGGAGATAATAAATACCTTCCTTATATAGGGTTGTCCTAAGAACTAAGAAAGGTGATGCAGGGGCTGGCCTGGTGGCGCATCGGTTAAGTGCGCACGTTCCGCTTCTCAGCGGCCCAGGGTTCACCAGTTCAGATCCCGGGTGCAAACATGGCACCGCTTGGCACGCCATGCTGTGGCAGGCGTCCCACATATAAAAAAAGTAGAGGAAGACGGGCACGGATGTTAGCTCAGGGCCAGGCTTCCTCAGCAAAAAGAGGAGGATTGGCAGTAGTTAGCTCAGGGCTAATCTTCCTCCAAAAAAAAAGAAAGAAAGAAAGAAAGGTGAAACTTGTAGAAACAGAGAGTAGAAAAATGGTTGCCAAAGGCGGAGTGGGATAGGGTAAGGAAACAGGGAGAGGTTGGCAAAGGGTACAAACTTTCAGCTATAAGGTGAGTAAGGTTTGAGGATCGAATGCACAACATGGCGAATATAGTTGATAACACTGTATTGTGTATTTGAAATTTGCTAAGAGAGTAGAACTTCAATGTTCTCACAGAAAAAAAAGAAAAAAGATGTGAAGTGATGGATATATTAACTAACCAGATAATGGGAATCCATGCACAATGTATACGTGTATCAAATCATCACAGTGTACACTTAAATACATTACAATTTCATTTGTCAATTACACCTCTATAAGCTGAAAGAAAAAAAGCACAGGGAATAGTTTTACATACAATAAACTCATCAGAAAGAAAAAATATAAACATAAAACACATGTAAATTACATAGTGTATCAGCAGGCGATAAATGCTATGGGAAAGAAGAAAGAAGGAGGACAAGACACTGGTGTTTGTGAGTGACGCAGCCGGAGTATAGTTTGCAACTTTAAATAGTGTGACCAGGGTGGGCCTCATGGAGGAGGGAGATCTGAGCAAGTACTTGGGAAATCAGAACTATATCTCTCAAGTAAAGAGGTGTTTGACCCTGAGCAAGTCGCATACAGGTACTGAGTCCCTCTTTCCTGGCCTGTAGTTATAAAAGCTGCTTCTCAGGATTATCGTGTTTTATAGGAAATCGGGTTTGTGAAAGTGCAAAACTTGGCATACAGTAGGAGCTCAATATAATAAAGGCATACTACAAGGGGAGCAATGGTGGGTTTTCATGGCAAATTAAGGAACCCCCTCCCCAGACCTCATGGGGAAGCCTCTGAGAGCACAGGCACTGTTTGCCACAGAAATCTCCCCAGTGGTACCACGAACCTGTATGAAATGCCAGACACTGGGGACACCAGAGTCCTTCCCAAACTTTATGCAGATCAGACTACTTTGGCTCCTGGGTGTGTGTGTGTGTGCTATTGTTGTTGTGCCGAGAAAGTGAGTTGTGTAAGTTGCCAGCTCCAATGAATGTGCTCCCTATTCAGAGCTTTTGGGGCACACTCACCTTCCGCCATCATACAGAGCTGGCTACATGATTTGCAGGGCTGGGGCAAAATGGAAACGTGGGGTCCCTTGTTCAAAAAGCAGGGGAAAAGATACCATTAAAAGTACTAAAATATATAGCTTTTTTTATTTCTTCCGTGGTTACCTTTTGAATTCTCATGGTGTCTTTTATTCCCTGTTTAATGTCATTCTAAGTAAATACAAATTAAAACTGGAGAGTTTAGCATGAATTTTACTATTCATCTTTACACTGTGCAACACCAGTTTTAAAGGCAAATGTGAGGATATTTAACTCTTATGTGGAATCACTGAAGTTAGACTATTTATATTTCATTGTTCATACATGTGTATGTATTTCATTCTTACCTAACAGCACAAAACTAACTCAACTGTTTTCATTTCACTTCTTGATACGTGCACATTCTACCAGCACTTTCTACCTTTAGCTTACTTATAATTACAGGTAAGGAAAGACTCAGAAAAGAAACCATGGATTTCTCCATCTTTCCCTTTCCTTCTGTGTCATCATTTTCTATGTAAGTGACTGGCTATTTTCTCTTGCTTCTATAACAAATCACCACAAACTTAGTGCCTAAAAACAACACTCATATATTATAACATGGGCTGTATGTCAGAAGTCCAAGTACAGTGTGGTTCAACTGGGTCCTCTGCTTAGAGTCTCACAAGACTGTAATCAAGATGTTTGGGGACTGGCCCCATGGCTGAGTGGCTAAGTTAATGTGCTCCGCTTTGGCAGCCCAGGGTTTCACCAGTTCCGATCCTGGTCGTGGACCTAGCACTGCTCATCAAGCCATGCAGAGGCAGCGTCCCATGTAACAGAACCAGAAGGACCTACAACTATGTACTAGAGGGCTTTGGGGAGAAGAAGAAGAAGGAGAAAAAAAAAAAAAAGAAGATTGGCAACAGATGTTTGCTCAGGTGCCAATCTTTAAAAAAAAGAAAAAACGGCCGGCCCGGTGGCGCAGTGGTTAAGTTCACACGTTCTGCTTCAGAGTCCCGGGGTTTGCTGGTTGGAATCCCGGGTGCGGACATGGCACCACTTGTCAAGCCATGCTGTGGTAGGCATCCCACATGTAAAGTAGAGGAAGATGGGCACGGATGTTAGCTCAGGGCCAGGCTTCCTCAGGAAAAAGAAGAGGATTGCAGTAGTTAGCTCAGGGCTAATCTTCCTCAAAAAAGATGTCAGCAATGCTGTGTTCCTTTCTCCAGGCTCTGAGGATGCTCTGCTTCCAAGACTGTTCAGATAGCTGGAAGAATTCAGTTCTACGTCCTTATAGGACTGAGGCCCGCAATTTCTTGCTTACCTTCAGCCATACGTCATTCTCGGTTCCCAGCATTCCTTGGTTCATATTCTTCCATATTCAAAGCTAGACATAGTAGGTCAAATCCTTCTCGCTTTGAATCCCTCTGACTTCTACTGCACCTCTCCAACTCCAGTTGGAGAAAGTTCTCTGCTTTTAAGGGCTCATGTGATTAAGGACTCACTCAGATCATCCAGGGTAACCTCCCTATCTTAAGACCTTAGCCTTAATCACATCTGCAAAGTCGCTTTTGCCGTGTCAGGCAACGTATTCACAGGATCCAAGGATTGGGGTGTGGACATCTTTGGGGGCTGTTATTCTGCCGACCACAATAGGATGGAGTCCCTTGGTCATTAGCGTTTCTTAGAATGTCATTGCCTTCTTTCTACATTCAAAGCAAGTTCTGGTTTGACTGGAAGGTATGACCTCTCGGGGCACTCAGTGCCCCCACCCACTCAATCGTAGACATAACATGCTTCCTTGTACTCACTTTGAGTGTCTCTGAATTCCCACACATCGTGAGTCCACCAAAATTCTGTGTTCAGGGGACATCACAAATTCTATATGCAAAGAGGCATCAGAGAGTGGGAGACAGGAATATTGCGTGTATCTCCTCTGTTCATGTGCATGCTCCATTGTCCCATCACATTTCATGTACAAAGAACAGATTCAAAGATAACATTATTAAAAATTTAAAGACAGTAACAGCAGAGAATTAGACCAAGCATGGGTCTCTTCTGAACACAGGCTCTATACAACTACACAGGTCACATACCCATGAGGACGGCCCCACCCACATGTCCAAGGCATCCTCACTGGAGTCTGGACCATCCTTGCTTGGAGTACAGAGAGGGTTTCCCAGAGTCACTCCGGCTGTTGTAGCTCTGCCCTGTCTTCAGCAGAAGTCCTGGGCAGCTGGAGGACAGAGGACAGCAAGTCCTTTCTCCTGCTGCTATAACGAATTACCACAAGGTTAATGGCCGAAAACAACAGAAACTTATTATCTTACATTTCTGTACATTACAAAGCTGACACAAGTCTCCCAGGATTAGAGTCAAGGTGTCAGCAGGGCTGCACTCCTTCCAGAGGCTCAAGGGGAGAATCCATTTCCTTGCCTTTTCCTGCTTCTAGAGGCCGCCCACATTCCTTGGATCATGGCTCCTTTCTCTGTCTTCAAGGCCCTCAGTGGAAATCTAGTCCTTCTCATAACATATTGTTCTACCCTCCTCTTCTGCCTCCCCTTCCACTTTTAAAGATCTTTGTGATTACACTGGATCCATCTGGATAATTCAGGAGACTCTCTCTATCTGCTCATTAGCAACTTTAATTCCATCTGCAAACTTAATTCCCCTTGCCAAGCAATGTAACAGATTCACGGGTTCAGGGAATTTGGACATGGACGTCTTTGATGGAAGGGGGTATTATTCTGTCTACCACACACACTTGTTCCAACACCTCCATGGAACCCCGCAATTATCCTCTAGAGCTGATGGAACCGGATAAAATTAGATAGGCAATTGCTCATGAAGTGATGGTAATCAATTAAACAGCTTGGTGTTTCCTGAGCGATCTGGAATAACACCCTGCCACCTGATTCGATTTTCTTCAGGAAACAGACCTGAAGACATGTGGCCGTGGAGCTGTGAGTTATCTGAAGGCATTTGTTATAAGTCAAGAAGAAAATTCCCTACACTTCCGGCTTCATGGCTTCTCTGACAGCATGAGAATGCTGACTTTAACTGCGAAACGTTTTCATTTTATTTTAAAACAAAATTTAAATAGTCTTTTTTAGAGCAATGCATGCACATGGTAAAGCTTTCAAACAGTACAAGTGGGAACACAGCCTGAAGGCTGCCTCTCTCCTGTCCTTGACCAGCAGTCCTCTAGTTTCTCTCTCTGTGGACAAAAGAATAACAATGCCAGCAATAACAATAATAACTGGGACTTCTGAGCAGTGCACTGAACAGGCTCTGAGAATACTGTTTCTATCCCAATAATAAAATGCGTTCTTTTCACTTAAGGTTTGCATCTGCACAAAGCTTTAAGCTTACAGAGTGTTTTCACATGTCCTATTTGGTTTGTACGATGATAAACATCTCTTTTTGATGGTTGCACCTCCCCAGAAATGAGGGGAAGATGTGGCTCGAAATGGCCCCATTTGTGCAACTGCACAGTTTTAGCATTTCCAGCTCCACCAAAAAAGTTTGCATTCGGCAAAAGCTTCTATCTTAAGAGCTGATTCAGGGAAGGAGTGTGGCCAGATGGGGGGCTGTCCACTGTGCTCTGGTGGCTCTTGGTCCCTTGCACAGGTCCACTCTGTGACAGCAGAGTCCTGAGAAGAGAAGAGCTTGCATTGTCAGGGAGGCTGGCACCGAAGGCCAAGTGCAAACTGCACCCACTCCCTGCCTCGCTCCCCAAGCAGCTGGGCTGCAATCTGACACAGTCTGCCCCTTAAGGTTTGGAGTTGAACTTCCAGTGAACTGGAAAGATCTAGGACTCTGGAAGTGTTTTCCATTCCTAGCTCACTCAAGCTGAGTGGATTGCATTTGGAGGACATAGTTTTTCAAAGGAAGAAAGGGAAGAAGGGAGGAAAAGAGAGATTGAGAGACAGAAAGAGAAAGAAAGGAAGGGAGGGAGGAAGAGACAGAGAAAGAAAGAGGAAGAGAAGAAGGCAGAAGAGGAGAGCAGGAAGGAAGAATTGAGAAAGAGAAAGAGAAAGAGAGAGAGAGAAAGAGGAAGGAAGGAAGAAAGGAAGGAAAAAAGGAAGGATGGGAGGGAGAAAAGGAAGATAAACATAGACAGAGACACTTGAATCAGGCTGAACCCAGAAGTGATTTATTACGTTTTAGCCTCATGTCTCCCCAGGCGGCCCCTGTCTAGCGTTAAAGATGGGACTTCATGAGCAGAAATGAACTCCATCTCTTGCATTCTTGCCCTCACCTAGAACTCAGGTCACAGCACCTCCAGGCCTCCTCAAAGTCCCACTCAGGTGTTTCTGGGAGTGTCTCCATGAATGGACAGTTGGTCCTCTTTGCTACCAAATGGTCGTTGCCCTTGTCCTTGTCTTTAGCACCAGCCCCATTGGGAGGGAGGCTCTCACCACTGCCTATGGGGCCACTGGAGGGGACCTATCCACACAAAGCTGTGCCATGGTGACTGGCTTCAGAACCACCACCGCCTGCCCTCAATGCCGGAGCCTCAGGTCCCCAGGAACCTACAGGACCCTGGGCCCTGCAAGGCGCTGCTGTCAATGCAGTGTTGTGGCAGAAGAGAGGAGACTGCAGTCCACGCTCTTGCTTTATTCCTGATAGGGACACTGCTGTGACAGGATGACGGTAGACGGAAGTCCTCCTGTTGGCCCATTACTCGGAGGCTAAGGACAATATACTGCATGTCAACACCTGCTCATTCTAGAAGAAGGTGTAGGCTGTCCACACAGGACAGGCTAAAAGACTGTGAAACTGCCTCTGTGAATGTCAGTTACCACCTACCTCCAGCCTTTTTAGAGTTTGAAGCTGGAGAAGCTAGGGGAGAAAATTTTAATTTTGACTGAGATATGACATAAATACAGTAAAGTGCACAAATCTTAAGTTGATGGGGTAGCCTCTGTTCTAACTTCTATCACCATAGAATCCTTTGCCTGTTTTTGAACTTTGTATCAATGGGATCATATGGCGTGCAGTCTTTCATGGTTGGCTTCCTCTGCTCATCGTTAACCTGTGGGATTCATCCATGTTGTTGCACAGAGCATCAGCTCATTGCTTTTTCTTTGCTCTGTAGAATTTCTTCAGTAAAAGCTTATCAGAGAACTGGGTCCAAGAAGCACCCCTCCCCCTGACCCACTGCAGCAGTGGGGAAGAAATTAATTTTCCTTTACCTCCATCCAGTGGCAGTGGCTTCAAAGGGACTACTTGGAGAGCTTGATTTGAGTTGAGCTGGATGGAAACCTGTCTAGGCTTCAAAAGGTGAAAGACTATCTAGTGGAGAGACAGCTACATTCGCGGCAGATGGTGTTCCACCAACAGCAGACGAAGATGCTGGGAGGTCAGAATCCTGCTGGCAGAAAGGACAAGAGGAGGACAAAAAGGGAGGACCAGCGAATCACAGCACTTGCCCCAGGACCTGCACTTTGCAGGGTCTCCCTCCCTGAAGGCATATCCAGGGAAGCCACCCTTCTTAGCAATAGGAGAATCCTGGGGCATGGCTTAATCCATTGACATAAGAATGTGAAAAGTGCGTGAGGCTCGCGTCACATCATTACCAACACTTATCAACCTCACCTATGATGGAGACAAGAGTGACTCCTCCTCAGCTCTTCCACAATGCTCCTTAAGTTTCTTTTTGCCTCTCTTCTGACTTCTCTTCTTGTTAGGGGCCATTCTTTCTGTACATTTAAATCTCATTTGACTTCTCTATAAATGGTCAGGGTGCCCAGAAGTTCATGACATGTGGTTCTTTTCCTCTTGAAACTTGCATCCCAGAGCAGGCCTGCCTCTGATTAGTGTCCCATGTTTATAATCCCGCTTCCTCTGCCCACTAGTCAGGGATGCAAGCAGGTCCAGTTAGCAACAGTCTATTCCTCTTGGGACAGCATCATGGCCAGGTGATCATCAGGTGATGGCCAGGTGATCAATTGATAAATAGCCTGATTCATATTCTTATAATGAGATTTCAAAGAAAAAGAGATTCTTTGAAAGCTTAGAGATTTTAGGTTAAAAAGCATATGCATTCATATACTCTTGACTAAAGTGCGGTTTTCTTCCATCTGGATAGATCATTCTCTTTCATCTTAAGATTTCAAAAGAGGAGTCAAGGAAATGAGAATGAGGAAGGGGACAGCCTCCTGCCACCCACATCAGATGAATCAACACCAGTAATCATGGAGTATCACGTGTCAAAGCCAAATTGTTCTCACATCCATTAATTCATTTAGCAAATATTTATTGAGCATGCACTATAGGCCAGCTACTGGAGACAGAGTAATGTGTTAGTCTGAGTCTTTTGAGAAGTAGATGCCAAATCAAGGTTAGTTGTGCAAAAGTTTTATTAGGACACCTGTGAGGGAGAATGGGGAGGGATCCCATGGGAGGCTGGGAGAGCCATCAGACCTCAATGCAAGTCTGATCCTGGGTGAAAGAGAGAGGAAATTGTGATGGTTAATTTTATGAATCAATTTGGCTGGGTCACGGTACCCTGATATTTGGTCAAACATTACTCTAGATGTTTCTGTGAAGATATGTTTTTAAATAAGATTAACACTTAAATGTAAATCAGTAGACTTTGAGCAAAGTGGATTACCCTCCATATTGTGGGTGGGCCTCACATCCAATCGTTTGAAGGCCCTAAGAGAAAAAGACTGACAGTCCACCCAAGGAAGAGGGATTCCTGCCTTTGGTCTCGAACTGCAACTCTTCCCTGGGTCTCCAGCCTATTGGCCTACCTTGCAGATTTTGGGCATACCAAGCTTCCATAATCACATGAACCAATTCCTTAAAATAAACCAATCTCTCTTTCTCAATCCTTTTCTCTCTCCTCGTCTCTCTCTCTCTCCATATATATACACACCTACATATACATACATACATGTGTGTGCATATATATGTGTGTGTGTGTATATACATATGTATATGTATAGACCCACATGCATATCCTGTTGGCTCTGTTTCTCCGGAGAACCCTAATGCAGGAAGGAAGGAGGATTGAGTGGAAGCAGCTTAGACTGAGCGCAATTCTAAGAGGGTTTGGCAAGGTCATTCCTGAGTCCTCAAGCCAAAGTCACTCACCAGAGGAGTCCTGCATCTCCCAGGAACAGCCTGGCCTTAGCATCCATGCCATACTTGGTCAGTGACTGAGAGCACCCCAGGAAGCACGGCCTTGGTGCAAATGTCATGATGGATTTCAGAGCACAGCAGCTGGGCCTTCGGTCACTTACACTTCTTGTAGTCAGAGATCAGAGAGAGACATTATCACAGCTGCCACAAGTAATGAGGAAAACAGACAAAATTCCCACTTTCATAGGTCTTACATTCTAGTGGAAAGACAATAACCACCAGTAAGTAAAACATATAGTATGCTTTAAGGGATCAGTTAGGTAGGGTAAGTGCTAAGGAGAAAATCAGAGGGAGAGAAGTATTAGGGTGGATTGAGGATGGCTTAATCAGAGGAACAAACTTCTAACTGCAGACTGTCTCGCACATGGTGGGTATTAGCTCAATGAACTAAAGGTTTGAATTTAACATACAAAACTAATTAGGGATCCGTTCATTCAAAAGGCTTTCTTTGGGCTCCTCTCTGTGCCAAGCATTGTGATAGGTGCTGGGGATACAAAGATGACAAAGACGTACCTCCTGCCCTCCAGCTAAGGGCTTCTAAGTCAACTCTACAAAAGTCATTTGAGATTTGAACTCTAATTTCTCCTCCCAGGAACGTGATGGTTCAGCAGCCTGGGGCTTGGTCGGTGTCTCAGTTGCAGCTCTTGTCCCTGACATCCACTTCATCTCCTGGATCTTCCTTTGTCCACTTGGAACCTGTACGCTGAGACAGCTATTCTTTTGGAAGGTATCAGATTTCAAGCAAATTTTATGAGTTAATGGACACAACTTTTTTTTTTATTAAAAGTACTCAATACCATTATCAGCAGGATTTTGCTACAGATTTCCACTAGCTTCCTTGGTTTCCCCACTATTGTTTGTTTGGTTGGTTGGTTGGTTTTGAGGAAGATTAGCCCTGAGCTAACATCTGCTGCCAATCCTCCCCTTTTTTGCTGAGGAAGACTGGCCCTGAGCTAACATCCGTGCCCATCTTCCTCTGCTTTGTGTGTGGGACGCCTGCCACAACATGGCTTGACAAGCGGTATACAGGTCTGCACCTGGGATCCGAACCGGCAAACCCCAGGCTGCCAAAGCAGAATGTGTAAACTTAACCGTTGCGTCACTGGGCCAGTGTCCTTGGTCTCCCCACTTTTTCCTTCATGTCAGGATTGGGCTGCTTTCAATTCACTCTCACCAAACCCTCATTATCTGCTCTCATGGTTTTAGTTGCTCCTACCCTTGGTCACTCTCGGTCTGTACACTCTCACATTCATACAATGAATTAGGAGAGCCACATATAATGTTAGGAGAGCCACATTTCCTAATGCCTGATCCAGTGGCAACTATATGCCCTAGATTTTCTAGAGTGATACCAATTTTAGATATTCCCTGTTGGTTTAAGCTATTTTCAGTTGGGTCTTCTGTTACTTGCAGCCAATAGCATCCGAACAAATGCAAATGGCCTCAGGCAATCTGTATCTGTCTTGAGGAAGATGGCATCATGGATGCAGCCACTATGGTGATCAGGAGGAAGGGCTTTATCTCCCACCAGAGCTAAGTATAAACCAGACTCCACATTCCAGTTTGTTTGATTAGAAAATCAGGTCACCATGACTTTCATTCTTTCTAGTTCTGCACAGTGTGAAGGGAGCATTGAGCTCCCAGGAAGTCACATCATTTGTTTTTATTTCCTTATTTATCTGGTTGTACCCTGCCTTCTGTTTGCAAATTGATTTTAGATGACTTTATGGGTAAATGTAAAATGTAGTAAGTAAGAAAAGAAAATATAAACCACACCAGGTATATTAATCAGGATTCTCCAGAGAAACAGAAACAATAGGATAAAAATAGGTGATAGATAGATAAGTAGATAGATGATAATTAGATAGACAGATAAAAGGAGATTTCAATAGAAATTAGTTCATGTGGTTATGGAGGCTGAGAAGTCCCATCCACAATCTGGAGAACCAGGAAAGCCGGTGGTGTAATTCTGAGTCCAAAGACCTGAGAACCAGGGGCCACCTCTACATGTCCTGGAGTGCAAAGGCCCAAGAACTAGGAGCTTTGATATCTGAGAGCAGGAGAAAATGGACATCCCAGCTCAAGAGGACAGAAAGAATTCACCCTTTCTTCACCTTTTTGTCCCGTTCAGGCCCCCAGTGGATTGGATGTTGGCCACCCACACTGGTGAGGGACAATCTCTTCACTCAGTCTACTGAATCAAATGCTAGTCTCTTCCAGAAACACCCACACAGATACACCCAGAAATAATGTTTTACCAGCTATCTAGGCGTCCCTTAGGCCAGTCAAGTTGACCCATAAAATTAACCATCCCACCAGGTATTTTAAACAGAGGGGATTTAACTCAAGCAATTGTTTACAAAGGTGTTGGAAGGCTGGAAGAATAAAAAGGATACCAAGGTAACCTAGAGATTAGTAACTGAAGGAAGTAGTGACAACCCCCAGAGGAATAAAAGGGAGAAAATCGTGCTGTAAGAACTTGGGAGCTTAGAGCAGGGCCCTCCACAAGACTGGTTGGCATGCCGTGGTGCCCCTTCCACAGTAGATATTTGGGTTTCTGAGGAGGAGGGCACCCTGTGGCTGGTGTTCAGATCTCTAAGCAGGAGGTCTGACCTAGAAGATGTCTGGAAGGCCTGGAGAACATGGCCCATTGGATAAGGAAGTGTGGCTGCTTCTGGTACTTCTAATGGAGCATGGTGAAGCTGGTGCTGGAAGTGTTGAAACATATTGAAGCCATAACTTCTGCTGCTACTAGGAACACTAATAGAAACTGGGAAGAGGAAAATTCTCTTCTCCTCTCCTTCTGCTTTCCAGTCTCCATTTAGCGCCTCCCATGGGTAGAACCTAACAAGTTTGGCAAGGGAGTCCGGAAAATAGAGTTTTCAGAACCCCAGCCCCAGTATCCCAGAGCACAATACAGAAAGGTGGGCTTAGAACTGAGGGACAAGGTCAACAACCAGCACAGCAAGGCAGGATTAAGGAATTAGTGAGAAAAAGAAAAAGCACACACAGGGACACAAAATGCAGGTAGGAATGAAGCTCCTACCTCATGGATGCTGTTAAATCTTCCACACATGCTATAGGCAAGGCACAAATTTGGTAGTGGTTCTTACTCTTTAATTTCCCTCAGCCCACGTGAATAATCCAGTCCATTATCATCAGTCACAGTAGCTTAAGGCTACACAAAGTTACTTCTGGAGTGTACTCCCTGGAATGAGGTCTCAATGTGTCTGCCAATGCATCAGCATCTTTATAAAGCATCTTCCCACACAATGCTACAGCTTCTCCCTTGCCAACTAATAAGGCTGGAGCCTTGTCCTGTTCCAAAAATGGAAAGCACGAATATTTGAGCCAAACCCTCTGAATTAACTATGCTCTGGTAGGAGTTAAAGCTCTTCCTCCTGACTCCCACAGTGTCTCCACCCGTTATCCCATCCTCTTGAAGACTTATGCACATTGCCTGAGGCCACTGGTTGGAATGTTATTGGCTGCAAGTAACAGAAGACTCAATTCAAAATATCTTAAACCAATCATTCTTAATCCTGGCTATCCTTTCAAATCAACTGAAGCTCTTTTAAAAGGACATCTGGGCTGGCATACAAACAAGATTGAGAACCAACAACTAAAACAGTAAAGGGATTTATTAGCTCACATAATAGGAGGTCTAGACTAAGGCAATACTGGGGACGGTTTGTTTAGTGATTCAACAAGGCGGATCAGGGAGCTGGGTACATTCTGTCTTTCTGTTCTGCCTTCCTCAGCAAAATGAATCTTATCTTCATCTTTGTCTCTTCATGGTCACAAAATATTTTCAGCAGTTCCAGGCTGCTCCTCATACAACAATATCCAAGGATGGGAGAGAATGTCTCTTCCTTGAGCCTTTTTTAGTATCAAGAGAAACCTCATATTTTACTGGTTGCGGCTGGGTCACATACTTGTCCTTAAACCAAACACTGGTAAATGGGACAGAATCATACGATTGGCTTAATCTAACGAAGATCCATCCTCTGCATCTTCAGAGGGGCCTAAAACACAAAGCATGGAAGGAAGAGGGCCATCTCTCTTGGGTAGGCAGCCAACAGTGTCTGCCACCATTTACTCACCCCCCTCATGAGGTCCTTCTCTGGACCGTTGATTCCACATAAAGCCTAGAATTGAAGCACTTCTAGACCCTGGGTTATACACGGATAGTAATTATGGAATTTCTCATGGAATCGCAGAATTTCAGGGGGGAAAGTTCTCAGGCAAAGGTCTAAATGCAAGTGAAATTTGCGTTTTCACAAACTTCACATACTTCCAAAGCAATCTGAGAATCTTGATGAAGCAGGAAAATTTGAGCAGTTCAGGTTACCAAAATAATCCCCCTTGAGCCATAATACAGAAAATGGGCTTTAAACAAGCCTCAACCTAATTCTTGGGCTCAAAAGTTTTTAATGTGACGCAGGTGCTGTTGGTTTCTGGAAGCCTCTCCTGGCAATAGTGTGGCATTATTTCCTGGCACATCATAGAGAAAGGCTTTTAGTCCATGAAAACTGTTTTCATGAATATGGCTCACCTCTGCAGAGGCAGGCCACTTGGAAGGTAATTGATTTATACGTGTTCTTCAGAGATGTGGTGAGGTTATTCAAGAAGATGATGTGGAGGACAGAGCCCCATACTTTTAAAAATGATACATGTAAACAAGTGCTGAGTGAAATTGCATTACAGCTCCCAACATTTGCAACTCCTACCTTCGCAATGCCTCAGGAGGGAGATGAAACCTTCCACAGGAATTGTTATCAATGCTTGCTGGCCTCGACTTAAAAAGAAACAACTTTCTTCTGGAATAAAACACCACCTGATTTGGCAGAAACAATGAACAACATTTTACCACTAGGGAAATATTTTCATTTCAGAGATTTGCAGCTATACAATTTAGTTAAAACTCTTCGAAGTTTGTTCTAATGATATTAAATGCCAAGAAAAAAGGTGATTAAACGCTGGAATGGCAAGATATTTGGCAACCAGTCCACTTGGATGCAGAATGACACAAAGGGAGTATATTACAAGATTCCATGCAGTGACTCAGAGTTCTCAGGGATGGCCAGATTGAATATCAATTCCATCCTCTGACTTTTATTAGCCATCTCACATGCTAATAGATATAATCAGCAGCCCCAGTCTTGGCCTCACACTGATGTTCTGGCATTTAAAATTGGGAATTAGGAGACAGAGGGAATCTCTTCCCACAACATGATAGGCCAGTGGCCTTGCTTGATCCTTGGTTCTTGGTCATTTAACCCACTCGGTGTTCTAGAGAGTAACAAAGAACAATGACAAGGAGAATAATTTATTACCAAGAGTGTGGGAGGTACTTTGAAGATTTTTTTAATTGATGATATTTATTAAGCTCCTATTATATGCTGTAAGCTGTGCTAGCTCTTCTGGATACTATGGTAAATAAATTAGGATATGGTCCCTCCTCTCATAGGGCTTACGGTATAGTGAGGGAGATAAGCATTAATCAAAGAAACACACAATTAAATGTAAAATTCCAACTATAATAAGGCCTCTCCTTTGGAAGAGGAAAACAGCTTTAGGAAAGCAAATAGTAAGAGAATTAAACCTATCTGAGGAGGTCAGGGAAGGCTTTTGAGAAAGAGACATTGACCTGAGATCTGAAGAAAGAGAAAGAGCTAAGTAGGTAAAAAGGTATAAGAAGAATGTTCCAGCAGAGGTGGAGGAATAGGACACACACACAAAGGCCAAAAAGATACATGATGCTTGCAGTAGTTAAGGTTGATGCTAAGTTGCTGTGACAAAAGACCCCCAAAACACAACTCAAATGATAGCAAATTGTTTCTTTATTCTTCTCTCTAATAACCATCTAGGATAAAAAGGCAGCTCTGCTCTGTAAGATTATTTAGAGACCCAGGTTCCTTCCATCTTGTTGCTCAGCTATCCCTCTAGTGTTTTCCTTATCCACATAATCAAAGCTTGTTCACCACGAAAACCATATCAGCATTTCAACCCAAGGAAGGCGGGGAGTGGGGGGAAGTGACTAGCAAGCACCATTGGAGAGAACTTAATCACAGAACCAGATCTAGCTGCAAAGGAGCCTGGGAAGTGTGGCTTCCAGCAAGATGACCCTGCACTCTGAAAAAACTTATCTGGGAACGTGAACAAGCTCTACACTAGAAGGGAGGAGGAAAGAATGAGCATTGGGATACCATAGCCTCTGCCACAAAGCCAAAGGACTCCCAGCACGTAATTATATTGTCATTGAACTAACAAATATAGATGAATGTCAGCTCTTGCCTTGGTTCAGTTGAAATGACTGCAACATGAAGATCATTTTGTAAATGGATAAGCTTCCTGGAAGTGTCATTTGGCAGCTTCCCATCTTTGCAGATCATGAATGAAGAGCTGGGGAAGGAGTTGCCAAAAATTTTTACCATCTAAGGAGTGCTTACTATGTCAGGCACTGTGTTACGTACTTTGCATATATCTCATTCGAACCTAATAGCAGTCCATTTTACAGACAATGAAAATGAAGCAGAGAGAAATTAAGGTCACATTAGGTCACATAACAGGCATGTGATGGATTAGAACTCAGATCTGACTCCAAATTCCATGCTTTTAACAGGTACACAATATGACTGCTCGTAGAAGTTATGACTCTCATAGGAGGAATTAATGCATACTAATGCATAGCATTTATTAGAAGGAAACAAAATCACGATATTGAAGGATATCTGCACCCCCATGTTCATTGCAGCATTATTTACAATAGCTAAGACATGGAAACAGCCTAAGTGTCCATTGATGAGTTAACAGATAAAATGTGGCACATGTATACACAATGGAATATTTTCTCATCCATAAAAAAGAAGGAAATCTTGCCATTTGTGACAACATAGATGGACCTTGAGGGATTATGCTAAGTGAAATGTCAGGCAGAGAAAGACAAATGTGGTGTGATCTCACTTACAGGTGGAATGTAAAAAAAATTGAACCCATAGAAACAGAGAGTAGATTGGTGGTTTCCAGAGACAGAGGGGTGGGATGGGAGTGAGGGAAATGGGTGAAGGTGGTCAAAAGCTGAAAACTTTCAGTTATAAGATTAATAAGTCATGAGGATGTAATGCACAGCATGGTGACTATAGTGAGCAATACTATATTGTATATTTGAAAGTTGCTAAGTGAGTAGATCTTGAAAGTTCTCATCACAAGAGAAAACCTTTGTAACGATGTGATGCTCATTAATTAAACTTATTGTGGTGATCATTTCACAATATATACATATATCAAATCATTATGTTGTGCACCTGAAACTAACACAATGTTATATGTCAATTATATCTCAGTAAAACTAGGGGCGGGGACAGAAAACAAAAACACAAACTGATGTTTGACTTGGTCGAGAACAAGAAGAGAAAAAAGAACTAATGCATATATAACTGGTTAGATACTTTCCGTGTTACATCCTCAGGAATATTCTGGTTTCATCACTTGCTTTGTTTCTTTCCTTCCTTCCTCTGTCATGACTAAGCCTTCCCTTTCATCACCCAAGTGACTGGATTACAAGTTACTGTATATCTTTGCACCCTGGGTTAAACCACCTACTGGACATTGCATATTGATTTTTCAGAGTGAAACTCTTTGAACAGATTGCTTCTAATTCACTGAAAGGAATTTAACCTTTTTTTTTTTTAGCTATTCAGAAGTTCTTGACTTTATTCATTCAACAAACAATTACTTTCACTTACTTTAGGCACACTGTGTTAGGCACAGGCTACAAAGATGAATACAGCTAGGACCCTGCCTTCAAGATGCTCCCAATCTTATGATGGAGGCAAACAGATAACCAAATGTTGCAATAGCAGTCCCGCGTGACAGAGTAGCCAAGGACATTAAAGACTAAATGGGGAAGAGGGTAGGCACTGAGGACAGGAAAGCCTTCACAGGCACACTGATACTTAGGAAGGGTCTTGAAAGGTGAGAAAGACTCCAAATAAGGACAAGGAAGGGCTATCAGGCGGATGGAAGAACATTTAGCAAAAGCACAGAGGTGTGACATATATGGACACCTCATTTACAACCAAGGCCCTTTGGCAATTCAGTAGCGGAGGGATGGCTTTTCAATAATTGATGCTGGGTCAACAGGATATCCATATGGGGAAAAAATGAACTTCAATCTCTACCTCCCACCATACAAAAAATTAATTTGATAGACCATAGAACTAAATGTGAAAGGAAAATCAATAAACTATGCAGGAAAAAAGTAAGAAAATATCTTCATGACTTTGGGATAAGCAAAGATTCCTTAAACAAAATCCAAAAATCACTAATTTTAGAAGAATTATAAATTGAGTTTAATTAAAATTTAAAACTTTGGCAAAAACAAATAAAACATTAAAAGAGTGAAAAGGCAAGCCACTGACTGGAAGATACACGTATCCAGCAAAGGACTTGTATCCAGACTGTACTAAGAATTCCTAAAAATCAGTAAGAAATAGAGAAAATGGGTAAAAAGAATTGAACAGGCACTTTACAAAAAAGAATATCAAAATGGCCAATAAAGTGTGAAAAGGTGCTTAACATCATTAGTCATCACAGAAGAGCAAATTAAACTCACAGAGAGATAGCACTACCGCAGTGAGACACCACTATCCTCTTAAGGGGTAACATTTAAGACTAGTAACATCAAATATGGACTAGAAAGTGGAACAACTGGAACTTTCTTTTGTTCCTGGTTGGAGTGTAAATTGGAGCAACTAATTTGGAAAATTTCAGACAGTACCTACTAAACCTAAACATATGTACATTCTAAGACCCAGCAATTCCACTCCTGGGTATATACCCAATAGAAATGAGTGCTTATGTCCACCAAAAGATTTGTACAATAATCTTCCTGGCAGCTTTATTCATGGTAACCAATAACTGGAAACAACCCAAATGTCAATCAACAGAAGAATGAGTAAATAAATTACAGTGCAATCACAGAATGGAATATTACTCAGCAACAAAAAAGAAGAAACTACTGACACTAGCACACAGTGTTGAAAGAAAGAATTAAGACGCAAAAAATACATGTTGTGTGGTTGTATTTATATCAAGCAAAACTAATCTATGGTGATAGAGGTCAGAATAGTGGTTATGCTTAGGGGGTACTGATTGCTCAGGGGCTCGAGGGAGTCTTTGGAAATGATGGAAAAGCCCTATATCTCAAAATGGATGGGATATATATGGATGCATATATATGTGTAAATATTTATCAAGCTGTACAATTAATATTCATGCACTTTATGAAGCTATTTCTCAATTTAAAAAGCATTTTTTAAGTCAAGAGGTGTGAAACCACCTGACGGGATTGGGAATTTTAAGTGTTCTTGACTTACTAGAACATGTGGTTTTGAGGGCAGTATGGAAGGAGATTCATTTGTTTAAAAATTACTAGGTGTGGTGCCCACTATGGGGTCCATAGCAGTCTTCATTCAAGAGATACTTACTGCCCTCCTGGAGACTGCTCATGCAGGAGACAGCAATAAGAAAAATAAGCAATAAATAAATAATTTCAGGTATGATGAGAAAACCACTAAAGCGAGGTAAAAGGATAAGAGAGACAGGAGTTGATCTTTTCATGAAGAGAGGTCCGGGAAAGCCAATCAGACATTTGGCCCCATAACCTGAAGGGACTGAGGGAGTGAACCATGTGGATATCTGGGGGAAGGGTATTCTGGGTCCAGGGAATAGGAGGTGCAAAGGCCCTGAGGTGGGCTTGGAACACTGCAGAAGCCAGAATGGCTGGAGTAGAAGGAGAGAGAGAGAGAGAACATCCCTTTGGATGACATTAGAGAAACAGCAAGGGCCTAACAGAAAAGGCTCTCCTGGACCAATATAAGGACCTGGGATTTCATTCTGCATGCAATGGGACACCATGGGGGTGGGGCAGATGTCTGAGCGGAGGATTGACATGATCCAATTTAGGCTCTCCAAAGCATGTGGAAGCAGGAAGATATGTAAGTATATTACAGCAGGAAAGTCAGCAGGGGTATGGTCATAAAAGACCTTCCAGGGGAACGATTGAAGCCAGGATGTGACTTGCTCAGATTCATATTCTGGAAAGATCACTTTGGTGGCTATGGAGGTGACCTTAAGGTAGAGAGTGGGGTGGGAGGAGACCGTTGGCAAGGAAGCCAGGTGAGTGACCTTTAGAGTACTTCCAAATCTTCTTCAGGAGCAACATTCTAAGCATCTATAAATAGTCGCTTCTAGACAGTCAGGAATACTGATGAGTCAGGAGTTCTGGTTAACAGAACTCCCAACGCCAGTGAGCTTTCTCCATAGAAACCTCACGGCAGAATGACAGCATTCTCCTCAGTTCTTTCTTACGGTGTTTTAAATAAAGGAAAAACGAACAGCTGCCTTCTAAACGGGGTTACCCCACCCCCCACCCCCCGCGTTTTCTTCAATCAAAATGGCAACCAGAGCCAAGCACAGCAGAACCAGGAAAGCTTGCCTTGCTGTTTTTTGGTTTAGCTCAGTTTCCCAGCTCAGAGTCGCTCCTGTGTTGCAAAGATGAGCTGGTTTATGGGCACATAAATGAAGCCCAGCTGTGAGAGAGACTAACGAAGAAGGATCTTTATCACAGCATCTCATCTGAGTTTCATTCTAGCACGTCCAAGCAACGGAGGAAAATTGAGAGATTAAATTCATCGGGAGCCGAGTGGAACTTTCTTCCTTGCGAAGCGAATCTACGTTCCGCTGGAACTCCTCACTCAACGGATCACATTTTCGAAGACCCCTTCAGGGCTCAGGCTCAGGAAAGCAGTGTTGCCATCCAAAGGAAGGGAGGACGAATCCTTCTTTTACACTTTTCTTAGGGCTGAGGGATGGGTTTTAAACATTGAACAAACATAAGCAAACCAGGACATTGCTTGCCACACTCGAAAGCTGTAGAAATCATGAGAAAGGCCACCTCTTTCATTTGAGAATCAGGGAGCAGTGGGGCAGGGTGGGAGAAAACAACAGAGAAATTGGAGTTAGACAGATTATGGCTTCAAATTCCAGCTCCACCACTTATCAGCTGAGTGCCCTTTGGAAATGGATTAAACCTCTCTGAGCATAGTTTTCTTTCTGCAAAATAGGGATAAAATGCTTATGTTTCAGGGTTGTTGTGAATATTAAACTAAAAAGTGCACACAAAGTGTTGGACACATGGTACTTGCACAGTAAAGGAAAGATACTTAAATAGCATGTCACCGTCTCTATCATGCTTTCATATATGTAGCTGTATATCCTCAATAACAACAAAACATATTGGAAACATCAAGTAAAATGGTCATTTTGAATATTTATCCACTGGGTCTTCGACGTGGCTCTCCCAGGGCCTGTTACCGCTGGACCCCCTCTGTGTTAGAATTCACGCCAGCCCGGGAGATATTCCCAAGCATGCCCAGGTCCCCAAAGGTCTTCAAAGGAAATAAGGAGGTCCCAGGAGCTATCGCTGGTATTTCAAGAAAAGACTAACAAAGTTTTCCCTGTATAAACCTGCACAGACTATCTAAAAGGTCAAGTGCTGTTGCTTTGTCCGGGATTAAGTCAGCCCAGGTGTTAACTTACATTGACTCAAGCCCAGACTCTTTGCCATACACATCTTTGATGATTAAAAACGGGCAAAATGAATTATACATTTTTACTCAGATTGACTGAGTACATTCAGGTGTCTATAAGAAAATACCATACACTGGGCAGCTTATAAACAGCAAACATTCATTTCTCACAGTTCTGGAGGCTGGGAAGTCCAAGATCACGGTGCTGGCACATTTCTGCATCTGCTGAGGGCCTGCTCCCCAGACAGCCACCTTTTCTCTGTAATCTCACATGACAGAAGGGGCAAGGGGCTCTCTTAGAAAGGCACTAATCCCATTCATGAGGGCTCTGCCTTTGTGACCTAATTACTTCCTACAGTCCGCATCTCCTAATACCATCACCCTGGGAGATGGAATTTCAATGCATGGACTTTAGGGGACACAAACATTCAGACCATGGCACAGATGAAATTTTTCTTACGTTCTGGATCCCAGGGGTCAGCTGGGGCCTCCTGCTCCTCTGAGATCTGAGGAAACCTGGCTCAAGTCTCTCAAGTCCGTAGTTTGAGAAAGTCAAAGCCTTCGCTGAGCGGTCTGCAGATCTCTGAGGATCTGGTTCCTGTGGTGACCTCATCGTCTGGCTCCCATGCTGCCTCCTCTTTGACTCCACTGCAGCCTGGGGCTATGCCACCATTTACACACACACACACACACACACACACACACACACGCTATCAACTCACACCATGCATTTTGTGGGTTTGTTGAATTCACTGAGGTTTGGGGGTCACAAGGATGGGGTCACAGCTGAGGACCCCTCCTCCCACTGACTTCACACTAAAACTCCCTTTCTTCTCTGTCTCCCTCTTCCCTCCATTGCTTTCTCATTTCTCACCTTGTCTCAGCAAAGCGGTCTAGCCAACGTCTTTCATAGCTAGATCGTTGTGTTTTCCCCCCTAGAATATGGCTCTCTTGCTCAGATGAACGGCAATGAATAAAAACTTTTCCTGTCTTATTAAACTTAATATAAATTTCTTTGAGGAAAATCATCAAGAAAAGGGGTCTTTGCCAACAAAAGTATAGGAACCATTGATGTAGGGCAGTGGTTCTCAAAGGGTGGTCCCTAGGCTAGAAGAAAAGGCATTCCTCGGGAACTTGCAGAAATGCAAATTCTCAAGCCCCACCCTAAACTCTGGGAAGCAGAAACTCTAGGGGTGGGATCTAGCAAATTATGTTTGAACAAGCTCTCTAGGCAATTCTTATGTGTACCAAAGACTGAAAGCATTGATCTAGAAGGAGGACTTTGGCTGTAACTAGATGGTGGTTCCAAACCCAAATGCCCATAGAAACGAGGGAATAATTTAAAGCGTATTAGGCAGCAGGGAAAGTGATGGACATATGAGCGAACTGATTTTTGCTACACGAAAAGGAAGATCCAGGATGGTCAGTGTTTCTAAATTTTCAAGAGAAGACAGAAATTTGAATTTTTATGGCAATTGCCAGATGTTTAAATGTTAGCAGCCAATTCATTTTGTCCTTCTAGGTTAATTCAAAGGCTGGCACATGCTGCCTACATCATCTCTCCATTTAAATCGAGAATCATAAGTTTCCAAGCCATGCTCCTGGGTCTGCTCTCACGGCTCAATTTTTAAAGCGCAATTAGGAACAGAGAAGAGAAAAGTAATGAGACTCATTTAACATGGATTTTGTGCCAAACATTAAAATGGGTTTTTAAGTTAATACAGGGCTGTGGAGTAGAGAGCCTATACAACGGCAGCAAAATGGCAGTTGAGTTAATGTGAGATATTGTTTCTGGGCAGCCTTTTTATTTCAGTCTGTATTTTCTCAGAAAGTCACCAGGGACTCCGTATTGTTCCTCGCATCATATTTAAAGCTGGGCCTATGGAATATATGCAGCGCTCTGCCGTTGCCGTGGCAACCATTATCTTCTCCTAATTCTTTTTCTTTTCTAAAAATAAAGTGCCCTTTCTCAAAGTATCTATTTCCACTTTTTATTTAAATCTCACTTTCTGCAGAGGCTCCATCTCCCTTTGACCTGAATATTACTTTTGTTTTGCTCAAGAAGAGACTGTGATAACACACATTCTGGACCTGTCGGCATCGCCCAGAGTTCAATTTGAAGACTAATGAGAGCTGCAGACACGGGGGTGCTGTGTAAAAACCTCGGCAGTTTCATAGAAGGGGGTCATGGCCATGTTCCTATAGCGCACATGCCCCTTGGAATAGTGTTTCTCCAGCCCATTATTTCATCTGCTGCTTCCAAAGAGTTATATTTCCACTGCATAAAAGAACAGTCGGAGAGACAAAGAGATGGGCTGAGGGCCCAAAGCCCGGTGTTATGTTGAGGGACGAAGCCTTGAACCCTCACTCCTTTGATCGGTAACTGGACAATTCCCCCTCCCTGGTTTCTTTCCTTTGCCTGCAGAAGGGTCTTGATGATCCACTTCTGAGGTGTTAAAAGAACTAGAGGGAAAGGAAATGTTGAGCATTAGCCTAAATTCTGCAGCCTTCGTACATCAAAGACCAGGCCTTGATCAAGACATCCACTAAAAGCAATTGCTTGGGACTTCTGAACCAACAGGGAAACATTCTATAGACTGTCCTTTCTGGGGCCATTTGCCATGCTGAGATGCTACAAAGATACGACAAAGATTGGGTCTTGTCATAAGGTAAGATGAAAAAATCTGCCCAAGTGGAAATTAGACAAATAGGTATGATCCCTGCCGTCAATAATCCCGCACCCCAACTATGCCACACTCATGTGTCCAAGCAAATGAGCAGAAGATGTTCGTAAAGTCCTGGAGGCATCCCTGGCTCTCCGGAGAGGGTGTGCTTGGAGTTTTCTCCACGTGTGGGCAAGCCATCCGCACTCCTCCATCGCCATCCCTGCCGTGGCCAGCCTGCTCCTTGACAATCCAAGCTTCTCTGTTAAGTCCGTGATGATGAAAAAGGCATGTTCCTCTCTGCCAAGTTAAGTGGCCAAGATGGGAATGGTAAGTGTAGCTTTGGCTCAGTTACACTGTAGACAGCTTGTGTTTGGGACATAGTGTGTGTAACGGGAGTTAAAGTCTGCCCATTATAGACAATACAGGGTTAGGAGAAGTCATTATTTCAATTGCAATTTCAAAGGCTAGTTCTGTCCAACCTTCTGTCCTACTATAGTGTCATTCATTTGGATGGTGGTCCTTTGGCACAGCTAATGTGGAGCCTCAGCTCTGTGGTGTCTTTACTGAGGGAATGTCACCTGCCATGACTCTGCCTATGTACTGTGGCAGGGAGTCAGGCTGGAGGCGATGAGTCAGCCACTTGGGACTGAAAATAGATGATCATGAATTGGTCCTCTGGACTATACTGCAGCCAACAAGTCCACAGCAACACTGGGGGTCCAGGACAATATCTCCAGGTGGACAAGTTGCTCACAGGAGAGAGCAGTGAACTAGGTGTTAGAGGCACCGGCCAGTCCTACTGTGAAGAGAAAGGTCAGACGTGGAGACTGCACTGTTGGAGGGTGGGGGCACCAGCACAGAAAGAAGGCAGGCGCCTTGGTCTGACCACTTCCCCATGAGTCTCATGGTCTGAGCCCTAAAGGCAAAATCACTTACTTATCAGACCGACCTTGGCTTTCACAATGTTTTCTCTAAGGTCTCATCGTAGGCTTAAGAATGTTCATGTTAATACTTGATCTTAAAAATACTTGTTGACCCAAAAGAATGGAAAGCAGGGACTCAAACAGATATTTGTACACCCACGTTCATAGCCACATTATTCGCAATTGCAAAAAGTTAAAGCAACCCAAGTTCCCATCTACAGAAGAAAGGGTAAATGAAATGTGGAATACACACACAATGAAATATTACTCAGCCTTAAAAAAGGAAGGAAATTATAACACATGTTACAACGTGGATGATCCTTGAGGACATTATGCTCAGTGAAATAAGCTAGTCACGGAAAGACAGATACTGCAGGATTCCCCTTACACGAGGTACGAGAGCAGTCAGAATCGTAGAGACAGAAAGTAGAATGGGGGTTTCCAGGGGCCGGGGGAGGGGAGAATGGGGAGCTGTTCCTCAATGGGTAGAGTTTCCGTTTTGCAAGAAAAGAAGCGTTCTGGAGATTGGCTGCACAACAGTGTGAATGTTCTTAACACCACTGCACTGTACACTTAAAAATAATTAAGATGGCAAATTTTATGTTACGTGTATTTTACCACAATAAAAACAAATAAACAAATAAAAACGAAAACACTGCCTGTTGAATGATTCCCCTTTCCTTCCCCAGCTCCTCCGCTGAGATGAATTGAAGACGTGATCCCAGAGCTGCTGTTCATAACCTGAGTGACCCTGGAGAGCTCACGAAAACATTCTCGACCTAACCTTCTTCGTGGGTGATTGGGAATAATAATAGTGACCTTGGAGGATCGTGTGAGAAAGGGCTCTGTGAATTAAAATGGGCAACACACAGGGATGATGAGGATTATAAAGCCGTTATATCCCACGCAACACCTAGAACAAGATCTCGCTTTTATTAAGGGCTCAAATGTAGGGAATGAATGGAATGAATGGAAGAAATGTGCTCTAGCCAGCAGCTGACTCGCTTTGTTGAGACAGAACAGTGAAGTCCGTGAAATTGGCCTTCGGGCCACACTACCAATCTGGGATCTTCTTACCCTCCTAGGCTCTCAGGGCTCTCATTCACCCCTTCCCAGAAAACTAGGTGAAGTTTTACACTCAGATGTAGATGCACAGACATCTTGCAGAGGTATCTGCACTTTTATAAGGAGCACCGAGGAAAACCAAGGGCTTACCCAAGAGAATAAATATCAACGATGGAAGCTCAGGCATTGCTGCAATAGTACAATATGAAAGCTGTGACGGGGGCAGCGGGCAGAAGGGAGAGGGGGTGTTTTGTCAGCAAGCTTTCAATCACAGCATGCAGGCAGATGCCCGATCCACTGCCAGAGTCTGCCAGTGGGGAAATCTGTGAGAAAAACCAAGGGCCGCATCTTTAGTCATGGCGCATTTTGGTGATAAACAACATAGCTCCGTGTTAAGAACAAAGACGTGAGAAACTAACTAACTGGATTTGGATTCTGGCTCTGCCAGTCAGCAGCTGTGTGGCCTTATGCTGGTCACTTAGCCTCTCTGTGCTTCAGTTTCCTCAACCCTAAAGTGAGGATGATGATAATAGCACCCACTCCCTAGGTTTGTTGTAAGGATTAAACAAGTCTTTCTTCATGGCGCGAGTACTTAGAGACCACTTGGCACATAGAAAGTGAGTTACTAATATTTGTTAAATAAA